GCGCTGAAGCTAGCGCGAGACTTCCAGGTGTACAGGAAGGAGTGATACAAAAAAAGCAGCGATTTGTGTTTTGGCGCCGCCTCCGCATTTTCGTCCGTGCGATAACCTTCTTGTTTGGCCCAGCAGGTATCGTTTCATGTGTTGGAGGTCTACATGGCGTCCGGCCCTGAGTTCAGCAGAGATCTTGCCTTTGCGCTTTCTGACTCAGCTCAATCATTCCTGTGTGCATGCACGGTGAGAACTTGGGCCGTGATTGTGTGCGTTTGGGCAACAGACCTTCACTTCGCGCCAGAGACTTCTTGGCTGAGCAGCTTTCTGTATAGAGGGCGCTTCTTGCAGCCATGGGTGTGAAGGGCACACACTCGTGCTCAAGCAGCTGTACCTGTCAGCGCTTTGCCAGGATGAATACGTCCGACTACCCTGTGATCTCACCAGAAGCCGTACAGGAGTTGGACCCGGAAGTTGTGAAGCACTCTGTCGAAACCATGGACCACATGACGTGGCTAGACAGTTCCGTGGATGAGGACGGAGTCTTCAGCGTCGGATGCGTGGTCTGCTCCCAGATGTTGGCCGACTGCGATAAAGACGTGATTGCCAGGTACGGCGTCCGCTGCCTCACTGGCTTCAAGCCGAAACGCTTTCAGCAGCATCAGCGCAGTCCCGCGCATCTGGCGGCAGTGAAGAGGCTGCTGCAGCCGAGCGTAGAGATTGTGGGGCAGCCTCTTTCCAAGCAAGCTGCGGCACCCAGCGAGGTGGAGTTTCAAGCCATCCTGCACCATATCCGCAAGGGCGGCAGCTTGCGCGAGGGCGTCCCCGGCATTGCGCACTTCACTAAAGCCAAGACCATGGTCTTCCTTTTGGCCGAGAGCCTGAAGCGCTTGTATCGCGGGTGGCTGCGCTCGTGTTGCACTATCAACCTGCTGCGTGACGAGCGCCACGCTCGGCTTCTCGTGCGCTTCCGCTGCGCAAATCTCCGTGGAGAACGGGGAATCGGAGTGATGGGCCAGGAACGCATCGTGCAAAGCACGGCGACCAAGATCACGGAGACGACCCTGTCCATCTTCAAGAATTTTTGCACGCAGAATCTGGGTGCGCCTGGGCTCAAGGACGAGTCAGCTGTCTGGTTCGACGAGGAGCTCTTCGAGCATATACGCTCCTCGGTGCATGCTCTCACAGTGGACTCCGCAGGAAACGAAGTCGCGTCAGGCGAGAACATGATGTCCAGCAGGTCCATGACAGCCATCCGTGGAGAGCCGTGCGCGCCGAATCTACACACCATCATTCGTGACAAGGCGCATGCTTCCCGCAGAATCTTGCAGAGGCCGTGGGCCTGCAATGAGTACTTATCCATGATTGGCACATCCCTGCTGTCAGCTTCGAGCAGCTTCGCTCAGCTCCTGCAGCACAGCACAGACTATCAGGCTTGGTACCAGGAGTGCTCCCGCAGGTCGTCCCATCGAGCTGTTACCACAACATTCGGGCACCTGCGTGCCGCGAAGCATCGCTTCGAGTCCATGGCATCTCCCCTGTCAAGATTGTGCCTTGACTGGGAGGCTTGCGTAGGCCTGCTGGTGCGTCTGTCCCAGGAGAGAGCGTCAGAGGCAGCTGGAGCATACGCCATCGCCACCCTGGAAGCTCTTGATGAAGAATTGATTCTGCAGTGTGCGTTGCTCGCAGATGCCTGTGATGAGACTACAGCATTGATCAGATTCTTCGACAGCGCCGAAGTGGACAACGCCAGGATTGCTCAGGAAGTCAAGCGCTTCCGAAATCGGCTCACGAAGCTCTTCGAGGGTCAGCACATCTGGTCTGCCGAGGGCTACACGAAGCAGACCCTGGCCTTCTTGGAAACCGCTCACCACTTTCTTGTGCGGGGGCGCGTAAAGTCGGTGGGCGGGCCCAGTGCTGTCACAAGGAATCTGAAGAGCAAGGTCCTCCAGCGCATGCTTCAGTGGTCGACTTNNTTTGGCTATGGACGTGCTCGCTGCGGAGCACCCCGATTTCGAGCTGGTGTCGTCTTTCTCTTGCTTCGACCTAGAGCAGCTAGCAAGGCTGCTGCCAGAATGCAGGCACGGCTTCCCTGCAGCCCTGACTGAGCCCTTGCGGCGGCTCGCGTCTACATTCCAGCTGGATGAGAGCAAGCTCCTCAGTGAGTTCGCTGACCATGGGGCAGTGGCCGCGCACCGGTGGAAGGTAACTGGAGGCTGCAATCTGAATGCATGGCAGTATGCCCTGCAGGTCACCTCCTCCACAGCTGCACGCGTGCGACACCCGGCGGAGCAGCTGGAACAAGTGTTGGCCGAGTATGCAGCCATGACCAGCTCCGATTCCATCATTGAGCGTGACTTTTCCAAAGTCAAGCACTTGCTGAGCGAACAGCAGCTGCATGCAACGGCTGGAGTGGAAAGTGATAGCATCATGCTGGCTGTGGCGGATCCTGGCCATGACCGGCTTGTCTTGAAGCAGGCCCGCGAGCTGTGGTCCGAGCTGTACCCGCCATGCAGACAGCGTATCCGTGAGAGGTTCGACAAGAACGTCAAGCGCCCTGGGGCGCAGAAGCAGGCTCGGACCGATGATG